TTAACTATTTATATTAACAAGATTAGAAAATGGTGCGGATAATAACTTTTTATTTAACAATTTATACGAAAAATTAAAAAGAGAGTTTATATAGTACTCTATAAAAATAAGTTTGACAAACAGTCACTAAAGTTATGGCCATATGAGGTCATTCCAAAACATAATCATAATTTAAGGAGTTTTTCCCATCATGTATCTTTATTTATATATATATATATGTTAACGGTATATTAATCATATTTTTTTTTTTATTTTTATTAAAAAAATTGAAAATTAACTTTAATTTTTTAATTAAAATCATGCATGTAATATTTTTAATTTTTTATACAAATTAATATAAAAAATACAATTAACATATATTTAATATATGTTTTCTAAATGCTAACGATTTAAGTAGTTTAGTGATAATTTTTTTTATCAAAAATAAAAAATCTTGAATTTTAATCATATAACACACAAATAAAATGAGATAGGAGATGAAAGAGGTCACCTCTTATTGTGTAATTAATCATTAAAAAAAAAAATTTTTTGGCATACGTTGCACTAATCCTTTCAATTTTTTTTTTAAAAAAACGTACGGATTCGTTGAATGGAGCCCAAGCAGAGGGAATCACTTTATAGGCTTGCGGCCCAATTTCATGAGCAGGATTTATGGGTGCACTAGCCACTAGGTGTGTCGGGACGTGAGTGGCAGCCATTGATCTGAGCCAACCTTATCATCGTCGACTCGCAGGAATAAGGGTTTGTCCAATTGACACATAGCCATAGCACTAAGTTGAAGAAGAGCAAGTGCTAGGAGAGAGAAACATGGGTAGAGTATTTTTGGTCGAGCTTGATGGAAGGTCCTATAGATGCAAGTTCTGTAGAGCCCACTTTGCTCTCCTTGATGATCTTGTCTCCAGGGTACCCACTTTTCTGTTTCATTTTTCTACTATTTGGGTTTTTGGTCTCTGTTTCTTCTAATTCATGAGTGATTCTTCTCTTTTTGGTTTTTAGCTGGTTGTTCTAGCTCTTACATTTAGAAGTAAGTGTTAAAGTTATGCACTTTTGTTACTAATGATTGCAAAATTATCATGGGACATGAGATATGATAGTGGGTTTTAGGTGACTGATTTTCTATAAAGATGATGATAAATTTGAAGATGAAGGTGGATCTAGTGTAAATATGATTAAAGTTTAATGGTACATGATTTCTTAGCAAATAGCACAGATCATTCCCAAGAGATAAATTTATTTCAATACTCTATTAGGTTGGATAGAGGCAGATTGGGAACAAGAAACAGTAGAGAATTAAGTTTCATACTTTCCTCACTCGCATTTCTTCCATCTGCGATTGTTGATTCTGCTGAATTCATAGTTGTGTATACAGTTATTCTTCTGATTGATTTTTGGACTTTTTTTTGTCAAATTGTCATTTTGGCCAGAATTTCCATTCTCGTCGGGGAAAGGCATACCTCTTCAATAATGCGTAAGATGCTTTGCTTTTGATGCCTAAATTCTGCATGAGAGAGATTTCTTCTATGGATGTCTACATCTATGGGTTCTTCTTGTTGTTCCTTTTCTCAACTGGAATTAGGTGGTATATTTTTTTCCCGTACTATGGAATGTGAAAGGAGTAAGAAAATATTCTCTTCTTGGAACTTTATTTTTGCTTGTAAAATTGTTAATGCTATAAATCATATGAAACCTGTTGGTTAGACAACTTTCTTCCAGTGATATCAATTAGGACTCGGTTTTGGTTATATCAAGAAGACAATTTATGCTTGTCTGCATTATATAACCAAATGTCAGTGCATGGAAGATGACTAATTTTAAAAATTAAAAATATATTTGATTTTTAAGTTGTTACTAGTCAAACTCATATGGTAAATGACCTCCTCTAAAGTGTTTTTTTAAGTATATACGTACTTTCTGTAGTGAAAAGTGGGTAGACTTAAATGCTGGATAAGGAAAAAGATAACTGTTTCTGTTATGCTGATAAGAAAACTCGTAATGTTTCTAACTCATATAAGCAAGTTTTTCTAGCAATATCCTTTTCGTCATTTGATTGATTGAAAAACCTATAAAATCCTATTTTATTTGAATTTGAGGCTTGTCGTCATTCTAATTTCTTGGACCTTATAAATTCATAGACTGAAATCTGTAGATGTTTAATCTTGCATCTTTTTTCTCGTTAACCTGGCTCATTGGTCAGTTGTTCTATTTTCTCTGTTTAAAGTGATTATGGAGACTGGTGCAGTTTTGATCTGGATTAAAATCTGAATACAGTCCATGAATGTTATGCTGCTGCTGTATATCATTATCGTTCTGACATAATTGAACTCTTGATTTACAATTATAAACTACATAAGGGGTGGAAGTTGTCAAGTTGCCCTAAAAAATTGCACGCTTAGCTGTTGAATGCAGGTATGTTTGGAATCACAACAGTAACAACTTTTTCTTGGGCCTTTTTGGTGTAACTTTTTCTCTTTCTTTAGTAGATATTTGTTTCATCATAGCGTTTGATCCATTAATATCTTCTTTTACAAAATTGATTCAATGATTTGCTTTTTCCTTGTGAATTTGCATACAATCAAAAGATCTTTTGCAAGTTGGTGAATAATAGGAAATCTGGTATCAGTGTTTGTCAAATGCTGCATCTAGAGTTTCCCCTTGTACTTTCTTGAATGTCATTATGTAAGTCAGGCATTTCATGAGTAAGCTGATGGGACAAATTTTCCAAGTTAATAATTAAGAGATTAGTGGATTTCATTGACAGCATGAAGTTACCTGAGAACTTTTGGATTAAGTAGAAAAACAGGGTAGAAAGGGTAATGACAGGAAAAATGGGTGTTATGCTGTCTCTGCCTTATGATGCCAAGATGAAAGCAATACTTACCAAGACACATCTTATACATAAAAAAATGGTGTTATGTCATCTATTAGGTTCCTTTTGCATCAAAAAATCATAATGTTCTGTGGCTCTTTCATATTCATAAATCATAATGAAGCTGCTACTTTTTCATCTCAGAGATAATTTGCGTATGTTATCCATTTTGTATTGGGATCCGTTTATTGATGTTCAAAATTTGTGTTTCAGGGTGAACATAACAGTTGGAGCCTTGGAAGAGAGACTGATGCTTTCTGGGATGCATACCGTGGCAGATGTATTTTGCTGCCGTTGTGGACAAATTGTTGGCTGGAAATATGTAACTCCTGTTTACGCTCTCCCTCCCACTCTCTCATATCTTCTCAGATAACTAAAATTTGGCAATGAGACTCATAGTCATGCCATTTCTCATTAACTTAATTACTTTTCCTTCTCCATGACATACAATCGTTTCCCTGCAGGAGGCAGCACATGAGAAGACCCAAAAGTATAAAGAAGGAAAATTTGTTCTCGAAAGGTAAAACATTTTCCCATGATTTAGCGCTCACCCTTTGCATTTCCTCATACAAATTGAACCTTACGTAATTACATCCCTTTATTTGTCCCGGCTTCCAATGAACCAGAGCAAGGATCGTGGATGGGATTGACCTTACAAATGAAGTCTTCGTTGATACCCGTCCCAGTATGAGTGACACTGAGGATGTGTAGAATGGTGTACTTCTGTAGCCTGTTCTCTAAGCAGTTTTGTACCAAAAATGTTGTGACAGTAATACAGGTGGAGTTATGTTGTACATATGTATGATAAAGACCCTCTAATTTCTAGAGAAGCCTTAGCTTGCTGGTTTAATTCTTTTGTCATCTTACTCTATTGGTAGTTCAATTCTTGTGTCCCTTTTTCTATTCTCTCTGACATTTATCATCTTCAGGTTATGTTTGGTTGGAGGGTAACTCTTCTTGGTCATAACTATAAAAACAGTCTAGCTATAGAAACAAGGCACACCTGGTTTTATAGGTTAGTTATTAGGTGTATCTAATGACTTTGTAATGACTAAGGTTCGGGATATGGTAATATCATGTTATTCTTCATTTTCTTATTCTAAAATTGTATATGTTCAAAAAATTATAAAAACAAAGCTAAATCAATAAACTTAGACTTCTTTGACCATGTTTCACACAAGTATATTTTTATGGAGTTCTTTTTTTTTTTTTTTTTTTTTTTTGAACATATTTGCAAGGGGTGGGTTTCGAACCCAGCGCGGGGAGGGGGGAATGCACCAGAGTTCCTATTGCTACTAGGTCACAAGCGCCAGGTGCTTTTATGGAGTCCTTTAATATGTATTAATTTTTAAAAAATTATCTTTTAATTAATCTATATTGAATGTAATTTGAATCTAATAAGAATTTAGTTGAATTGATATTTATTAATTAAAAATTTTTAATTTAAAACTAAAATTAAAAAGCTAAATTCTTGTTCTGTCAAATAATTAACCTTTTAATACATCAAAAAAAAAAATTTCTATATAAAATTCTACTTGTTTGTTTATTTAAGCATGGAAATATATTTATAAAAAATAGACATTATATATTAAAAAAAAATTATTATGCAATAATATATACTTCGCATAACATAGACCGACAAGTCGGCCCCGTGCGAGCAAGAGCGACTCCTGTATATTAAACCGACATGTCTTTAAATCGCGGCAATTGCCCTTCATGTTTTCCCCTCGTCTAAGGAAGAAAAGCAAACAGTAACGATCGGCGGCCTCCTCCTCCTCTTCCTCCTTCCTCTTCTTCTTCTTCTTCTTCCTTTTATCGGCTAACGCTTTTTTCCCTTTTTGTCTTTTATTTTTTAGGGTTTCTTTCTGTTCTTATTCTTGCAGGTAAAGAGAGAAGCGAAAAGAAAATATGGGGAAATCTTCTTCTTCGCTGAAGAAGAAGCGATCCAGGAATCGCTCTCAGGTACTTTACTCACCCTCTACCTCTTTCAATAGTTCAATATATGAATCCAATTTTGACTTTCAAAAGGTTAATGTTTTCGCAATTACTAGTTTGATTTTATCAATTCCCAAAACGTTGGGAGCCTAGAGCAAAATTGAGATTATGGGGTTCATGGTTATGTTTATTTATTTATTTATTGGGAAGATTCATTTTTTAATTTGGCTTGTTGGGTACTCAATATTGTGTTTGGATTTTACCATTTTTTGGCAACGAAGATTTGTGTTTTCGTTTTTTAAATGTAAATTAAGCTAAAAAGGGTTCATAATTTTTCTTATGTGTATGTGCATGTGAATTGCTTCTTTAGTCGCGTACAATGAAGAAAAGTAAGAGTAAGAGTAAGAGTCGGAGAAATAAATCCAAGAAGCTTCATCATCGTAACCATCCTGTTTCATACTCGGATGATAGTGATTCGAGAAGTTTGGTGTCTGTTTCATCCTCTAGTTCTGAGGATGATTATGGTAGTCAAAGGTCCCGGTCTCGTACAAGGAAGGATGTGAAGGGCAGTAAGAAGAGGGTTCGGAGGAGGTCATTGAGTAGTAGTGAAAGCAGTTTGGATTCTTTCCGTGGTAGAAAACAAAAGAGGTCAAGGTCTACTAGAGGAGATGATAGTTATGAGAGGAGGAAGAGAACCCACCTAAAGAAGAAGCCTAGAAGAGGTGTGAGTGTGAGCTCAGCCAGTAGTGGGTCAAGGAGTTGCTCAACTTGTCCAACTGTGAGCAGTAATAGCAAGGATGAGAGTGAGTTTGCGAGCAGAAGGAGCAAATCTGGAAGGAAGGAGAAACAAAGAAAAAGGTTAGGGAAGCTTAAAACTGGAACTAAAAAAAGTAGGGACAGATCAAGGAGTTGTTCTTCCTGCAGTAGATACAGTGAATGTAGTGAATATCAAAGTGAGGAGAAAGTGGTGGAGCAGAACAATTTGAGGAGGCTAAGATCGGTAATCACTGTTATTAATGCAGAAAAGGAAGAGATAGAGTTGGAAGGTGATGAGCGTAAAGAGGAGATTTTATATGATCATGATGATTACCTATCTAGCAAAAGTAATGATAGTAATGATGGGGGTATTAGGAGGGAGTTTTCTCAGCATTCACATCTTGCATCTGAAAAGAATAAGGATGTAGATGGTGAGCAAGGAGAAAAAACTGATGCTTCTAACTTTAGAGCCGGCAGTGTTGTGGGTAGTGGAAAGGATGGTATTTCTAGCTGTGATTTAGTTGGAAAAAATGATGCTAAAGACGAAAGGAAGAGTGAGGCTTCTGTTGCTGTCGGTAATTCAGATGGTGATAATTTGGAATCAATATTAAGACAACAAGCTCTAGAAAATCTAAGAAAATTCCGAGGAGGAATGCAAACAAATTTAAACATTCCAGCTGATCAGAAAGATAATAAAATTGCTAATGTGAATACACCGTCTAAAGAAAAGGCTGAATCAGTTCGGCTTAAGTCCACTAGAGAAGATGGTGCTAGAGTTGTGACTGCAAGTCAAGTATCACCGCAGTTTAGGCTGCCTGCAACAAGAAAAGATTCTTCTGATTTGCCACTTGATGGGAAGACTTTAGACGGGGATGATGGTGGCAAAGGATCTCATACTGCTGAGCATGACGTTGCTTCTGCAAGGGACAAGGTGGCTCCCGCTTGTAGCCCTAAAGAAAAGGTCAATGTAGCTAGTAGCTCTGTTTCTATTAAGCCAAGACGTTTGAGACGAGAATTGACTAATACCACTCTAAAACGAAGTTCTGCTTCACGAGAACATTCACGAGCCATGTTGATACCTAAGAGTGAAGGGAATGAGAGTGTTGAGAAGCCCCCTCAATCTGCAGAATACCAGAGTGATAATAAAAATGGTGATAAAATTAAGAATGTGCATAATACTACTAGTGATGGCCCTTCATCTTGCCCCGGATCTTTGTTGGCAGATGTCAGCTCAGATAAACCGCGAGATGGAACTAAGGAGGGCTCACAGTTTGAGCAGAAGACAATGTCTGTCATGAGGGGTGGTGAACTAGTAGAGGTGAGGTTTTGATCTGTAATAGATTTACCATTTTGCCATTTCCAAACTGGTAAATTTTGATGCTCTTTATTTGTTTAAGTGCCAAGGCTTGATTTCAGGATTGCTTCTTTTTGTTTTTCTTCGCTAAATTCTTTTCCAGGTAAGTTACAAGGTCTATATCCCTAAGAAAGCCCCTGCATTGGCTAGGAGACAACTCAAGAGGTGACATTTGATCAGTGGTGTGGCTAGGTGTGCAACTTCTCTGATAGCTTGAAAGCTGAGACAGTAATTGCATCTACCAAAATAACAGTAAATGGTAAAAAAAAAAAAACCTTGCAAGAAATTGATTCTTGATTGACCTGTATTGTGGCACGTGATATGATGCTTTAAAAGTAGGGGACGGAAGTTTGCCGTGTATGGGTAACTATGAGTTCATAAAAAGGATAGTGTGCCTGTTGCTGGCATCTATTACAATGACGTTTTTGTTTTAATGAGTATTTAAGCTGACCTTCTTAGAAATTATTCAGTATACTCGTTATTGCTGCTTAACCATAATTAGATTAATTACAAGATGATTTGAATCTTTGATTAAAAAAAGGGAGTACGGTCTGTATCTAGCGAGTAGCTACCATGTTATTGCTTTCAACAACCTGTTAATACCATTGTTACTCAGTAGTCACTATTATGGTTGGCGTTGTTTATGTGTATATTTTGTGTCTATCTGCTATATTCAATTATTTGTTCCCTCCCTCTCTCCCAACCTTCTTGTTCTGTGTATTCCTTATTATCTTTGTTAGGGGAAATATGATATTAGGATTTAGGAGAGTTCCTATGTTTGGGTATGATATATTTTAAATACATATACCAAAAAAAAAAAAAAAAAAAAAAATTCAGATAATAATATGAATTTTATTATTTTTTATTTAAAAATATAAAATTTTAAGATTTTTAATTAAAGTATAAATTTTTACTCTTTTTTTTTACTTAAATATATAAATTTGTTTTATTTAAAATACAAAGCGTTTAAATATATGTTCTTAAAATTGAGATGAATTTATTATTTTTTTAATTACAGTACTCTAAAGTCTCATATAAGGTAAAACCAAAAACGTGTTTTAAATGTGCTTTTTAATTTTTAATTTTTGAACTCCATGGCAGGAGTAGAGATAACTCTAACGTCTATAGA